TTAATATTTGTATATCCAATATTCCCCACTCTTATCTGATCCACAGGCATTGAGTAAATATTGTCTTTGGTATGATCTACAGCAAAAGTCAAAAAAGACACTGTAAAATGGAACTGCTCTTCCTAAATATGGATCTTGTTTTTCCTCTACCTTTCTCTGGAAATACAGGGAACCTACTTCCACACCCAAAGGGCTTGCAAGTTTTTTGAGGTGTTGATACTTTCAGTCTAAATCTTACAAATTAGAGCAATTTCTAATACGGCATCTGGCTGAAGTAATGATGTGTGAATAAATTCCTCTCTCCTTGTAGCTCTACTTGTTTTGAATGCAAATGTTTTGAGGAGATATTACCTCCTTGAACAGGAAATGGTGACCAATGGAACACAATGAATTGCAGAGTAATAAAACTGACAATAGGAAAAAATTCATAACATTACAGGGGAGAGGGTCAGGGAGGAGGGGAAGCTTTTGGACTTCTCCATCTAGCTCTGCTCTTTTACTTGCTTAGAGACAAGAGCATTTCCAGTATCTTCCCACCACCCTGACACATGTCCTGGCAGTCACACAGTTGGGCAGTATTGAGCTCTAGACTTTCAGCCCTGATTTTTTTGCAGGCCAAAGGGTAAATTAAGCAGTGGGCACTGTCTCTTATAATCACTAGTTAGTAAATTAGAAGGAAACTGGCAGCTTTTCACAACTGACAGTAAGAATCCCTTACAAAAATGATACAGCTTAAGTACTGCTTTATGTATCTTGTAATACTTTATTACCTTTGTTTGCCTGAATTGTTCTGGGTTTTAGCCTGAACCAGACATAGTAAAGTAACGGAAGCCACTCGTAGCTCAGAAGTCTTGTAGCAGGTGGCCATGAGATTTCCAGCTGATTCCTCAGTTTAGGGCCTCAGTTCAGCAGCAGCAATTGTACGATAGGCATTGGGGTTTTGTTCGTGAGAAGCAGATACTGCTCCCGAGACTAGATTCTGAGGTAGCCTTTGGCAAGATAAACAACAGGTTTGACAAACAGATGGATTCATCTGGGAAACGCATATTCCCCTTGCGACAAGAGGGGGAAGGAATAATTTGCTGGATCCTGGAATTTTCTGTCCGTATTTGAAATGTCACTTTAAATTGTTTGAATAGTGCGTCGTACTTTGCAGTCATCTGCGTTCATTTTGCTGTGGAGTTTGTAGAGATAAATACCAAAGAAAGCTGAATCTTTGCTTCTCCTTCTAACTTCTGTGATATCTGAAGTACTTGGGTGCAACATTCTTCTCTGTATTCCTATAGAGCTTTGAAAATGCAAAGTGCCATTAAATTATAAATTTTTTTAATGATGAGCCACATTCTAGCAAACTTTCTTAGCCTGAAACTCTCTTCAGCTGTTTTGGTCCTTGCAAACATGGCCTCTGAAAAATAGCTTGTAAACCTACAGCCAGCTGGTAACCAATGCTGACTACTGGCCATTTTCACCCAAAAATGGTCTAGTGCAGTTGTCTTCTTGTTCAGTATCTTTAAAAAACAAGGCAGTGAAAGCACATTGAGATTTCTTTCTGATCCAGTTGGCATAGACTCAAGGTGATGCTTTTGTTTGTGTATTATTTTAACTGCTTTAGATAGAAGCAATTTCACTGAAATCAATACTGCAGAGCCAGGGAAGCTAAAAGAGTACTCAGGTCAAAGGTTGACTTCTGTATTTTTGGAAAAGAGTAAGAATCCTCCCCACTACAGCCCCACCCAAAACTGTATGCAGAGCTGAGTGTCCCAGCTGTCCAAAGTAGGATGTGGGAAGTTACAACTCATGTCCTCTTCTTATGCATCCACTTTGAAGAACTTTGACTTAAATCTGTATTGCTTTTGAAAACAGAGTACCTTGTTCAATATAACTATTGAACAGTCTTCTGAAATAAATAGAGTGCTTTCATTATTATTTAAGGATAATTTGAAGAGATGGTTGAAAATTGGGTGTATTTGTACTAGCTGTTTTTCTGCTCTGTTGCATCCTGAAGGAGAATTAACCTTTTATCTCTCAAATTGTCCAAAAAGCTCAAGGAATCAGTTCAGATCTCCCTATGGCCTTTACTTTCCTGCTGGTCACTGCATTTTTTACGGGAGTCTGTTTCTAGTCCCATTGTGCCCCCAGTTGTGAATATCCTGAAATTCAGAGCGATTCAAATCAATGCCTCAATCAGAACAGAAATAGGATATACCTCTGCTGTCATGCTTAATTAACTTAGGATATTGTAGGCTTTTTTTCCAAGCATCAGGCTTCCTTTCTCCCATGGATACTGTGAAGTCCTGCAGTGAACCTGTTGTTATGACCTATTTTTGCTACAAATAGAGATATTAATTTTGTTCAGGTGCCAGGCAAAAGGAGCACAAACTTGGAATTCTCCTGGCTGCTCTAATTCAGCTGCTTGAGATTTGAAAAATCAATATGGGAATTATCTTGCTGTCTCTAGATTGCAACTCAGTAATTAAAACATAATTATATGGATGACATCTGGTTATTTAGGAAGACTGTGGGTTCATTCTCGGGGTCCATCCCAAAACTTGTGTCCTGCTGAGTTGAGACAGTGGAGCTGGGATAGATTCCTCTTGCTAGAGAAATCCATTGTTAATGGCAGCATTGCTGTCACTCTTTAGTTCCAAGACCAATTGAGTAATTCTTGAAAATAACTCCTAACTGCATTTTCAGATGATTGTGATATTTTACTAATCTGCCCTTTTCGGGTTCACTATTATTATCACTTAGATAGTTTCTTCAGAGAATCCAGTGTGTTCCAGCACATCTCAGGAAGTTAACAGTAATTATATAAACATGCTTTATATACATGTTTATATGCCCATCATATAAATAATACTGCTGTATAGGAGAACTTTTTGTTTTAGTTTGAGGATCTCAAACATATGATACTGACATAATTTATTCCTTGGCTGATTGCCTAACTAGCATGTTACAGTTCAATCCAAGTGCTGCCTTTCAATGAACAACAGCCATTCTTGACATTCTCAACATTCCCTTGACAAAATTATCATCTATGAAATGAATCTCTTTGATGCTACTTCTTTCTCCAACCTCCCCCCAGTCAATTGTTAACCAGTAAAATCTCTGCTGGTTTGCATAAATAACAGCTTAAATGATTTGGTGTAACATTTTTGTGGTGCTCAAATAACTGAAAAGTTTATTTCCCTGCTGACTCTGTTTCTTTTAGTGACCCACCTTTGTTCAGATCAAGCTGCTGCAGAGGGTTTTCCACTAGGACTGTTGGAGACTTGAGTATTGTTACTTCTGTTTCCTACTGAAGGACCTAAATGAAACGTTTACACGTGTTCAGCTTGCTTTTGCTTACAGAAAATGGGAACAAATTACCAGGGAATGAAATGGAGTATTTCAATTTATGCTCCCTAGTGAAGATGTTGCCAAAATGGTGTAATAATGCATTGCTTTCAAGGAAACCTGATTAGAGACTGCTCTGGAAAGAGTAGCTGGCAGCAGCACATCTCAGCCCATGTGTTTGCATTGCATCTGCTACAATGCACATTATTATAAATGGACCAAACTTTGCCCTCTTATCTGCATCTATGTCTCTCATAGGAAGGGCGAAAGAAACTAATTTGTGAGCAGTATTTGACCCTTGGAGAACTACATGCATCTGCTTGAGGCCATTTTTCCACATAAAAACACTTTGCAGCAAAATGATTTAGCATGTGTTTAATTTTAATGATTTGGCTTAAGTGTCTTTTTGAGTGCTTTATCAAGCTACAGCAATCATCAGCTGCTTAATAAATATTGGATTAAAGTCTGTAAAGGGAACTAACACATGCATCAAAAAGTCAAAAATAAAAGAACATTGCCAAACACTAAGCTTCTCTCTTTGCAGTGCATTACTAGCTTCTCTGGGCTGAAGGACGTTTTTCAATTATGCTGCAGATTGCAACACCAATATTATTTTTGCAAAAGAAAATGTACCAGGGACTGAAATTCTGCCAGTTTTCTGGACTTACACAGTGAAATCTCCACAGAATGTAATGCAGTGAGAGAAAACTACTGAAACAAAATATTAGCCCCAAGTAGACATTAATAGTAGTTGGAATTCAGCAATAGTTTTGAATATGAACTGAAATGAAAAATCTGAGCTTTGAATTGGTAAGCATTTGATGAGCCAGGGTATTATTAGAAGAAATGGTGACTAATGGATAGCAATAAATAGGTTGGATTTTAGAAATTATCACAACAGAAGCAGAGAATATAACAATTAAAAACTTAACTTTTGAAAGCTGTATGACAATATATCGTTCACTACAACAACTGTGCACAATTAAAAAACCCTCCAGTAAGATAAGGAAATTCTTCTGGCACAGCACTGGCTACAGTAAGTGCAGCCAATAATGCCCTGTTAATTTACATATCTTTAAATATTGAGTAGCCCTGCCCAGTTGGATTGTTATACTTCATTTCCATCACACTGGACCCCTGTGACTTTGGGTTCTCTTCCTCCCACATGCAGTGGCAGGTGTTAAGGACAGGGCAATATCCAGTCCCTCACTGCTGACATAAACTGCACTTGTGTTCTTGGGTTGTGTAGCTGAGGTACTCTGGCTCACAGGGATGCATTTATAGATGTGTGTATAGACAGGATCTTCAGCTCCCCATGAGGTATGATTTCTCCTCCAACATAATGTTAGAAGGGTAAAGAGAATTATTTAATTGTAAGAATAGCTTGAACATCCATTAAAGAGAGTTTTAAGCATTTTGCTTTATTGCTGTTCTTTTGAATATCAAGATAAACATACAGTATTTTGATAAATGAATTACAATTTGCTCAAATACAAATTGATAGAGCTACAACTGAAAACTTTAAAATGGCAACATTTCAGCCATGGCAGTTACACTTTATGTAAAATTACTTAGTGCTATGTTTGATATTAAATATCAGCAAGTAATATTAGTTTAACAAGTAGAGCTACATCACTGTCTGTAAATATATTGTCACAGCAGGACTATTCGCATGGGTTCTGAATAATGATCAGGAGATACTCCTTATCTGCAAAAAGATATAAACATGTTCTGTTAAAATATTGTATCTTATTTCCTGTTAAATACTCTTTATTAATATATTCCTCTCCAACTTCTTATTTGCTTATAAAACATAAGCAAAATAATTGCATTTATATAAAAAACATTCAGAAAATGTCAGCATTTTGTACAAAAATCCGAGATTACAGATAAAAAAATCTGTGTCATAAAGCTTAATATACCATATTAGAAGTATTTTAGTAAGCAGTCCATTTGCTTTCAAGAAGCTGTAAAGTTGTTTAAGCAAGATTTTAAAAGTCACAAGATAAGCACCTGGACTCCAGCACTTCTTATAATCAAAACTTTTGACATCTGCAGCCTCCTTTGCAGGTGCAGAAAACTTCTTTCAGTTCACTAACTCATTTATTGAAAATTGAGAACCCCATTTAGACATGAAAAAAGCAGAAAATATTTGAATAGACTTCTATTGTGAATAAATTCTAAGCATGCCAGACTTCGCCTACTAATTCTAAAAGCTGGGGGAAGTTTTGGAAATCCTTCAGTTGGATGGCTATTCAACATTATCTATTTTAAATGAAACATTTCTTGGAAGTATCCAGTGAATTTAGTAGGGTCATATCTGCTTTGGAGGACTAAGAAGCTGCACTCTGACATTGTCACTTTCATCCAAAAGCAACTTAATATGAATCTCAGGTAGTTCATTTACCACCTACAATTACAGTAAAATACAATCAAACCTTTGAACAACTTATTTCCCTGCTAGCAAAAGCCTCACTTTTTATACCACTTACTTTTCAGGTCAACATGCTTTACTGGTTACTAGTCAAAAAGTCACCTCTAAAAAGTAAGTGAAGGGCAAATGCAAAACAAGAATCAAGTGCATCAGTTTAAATCAATGAGCAAAAAAACATGACTTAAAAAATGCATTAGGTTTATACTCCAAAACAGAAACTAAACTAAAATTTTCATCTCAGTATCAGCTGATGACTAATGCTAACACTTAATGACAGTGCCAGATTTCTTTCTCACCTACTGGTTTCATAGCAACACTATAAATAATTCTAGGGAGGCGAGGTAACTCACACCTAGAGCAGTTCCTCTGCTCTGCCTCTGCTATCAATCAGCAGCAGAGGGCTGCCCCAGTGCAGGCTGTCCATCAGCACCAGCTCAGAGCCAACAGCCTCCCCGCTGCCTACGCTGAGGAGGTCCCTGAAGCTCCCTTTTTGTTCTGCAGCCTTCACTGGATATTGCCCAGTTCACCTTTATTGTTGATGGCCCAAAGCTCATCTGGCCTTGTTAGCTACTTCAGAGACACAGCTAACAAATGAACATGTATTTGTATTTAACATGAATACTATAAACTCTGTGGATTAAAATCCTAATATCTAGTTACATGGTGAGTATATGGTTGTATTTTCATGTAATTATTTTCAAAATGCATTTTCTACAGTACCCTTATTTGTGAAGAATTAAAAGAAACTTAAAAGGACATAAAATTCTATTGTTATTTGAATAGGAATATTACCTGGAGCAACCATAATTTCGTGTTTCTTTGATCTGATCCTAAGAAAGGTTAGATCATTCTGAGGATCAATGTCTCTCACTGTGCTCCTAGCTTTCTTGGTGAGCTGATGAAGAAGACCTGCATACTGGACTGATGTAGAGTTATCAAGGTTTGTTCTTATTGGAATTCCTGCAAATAAATAATTTTCTAAGAACCACTCAATTAAGTTGCATATTCTTCATATACAGCAGATCATAAGAGAAAAAATTCATATTTTTTTCTGTTTTGTAGCAGAAAGGAGTTACATTATTTCAGGTATCTATATGCCTTTTAAAGTACAATTTATGTTAATCAGTGGCACTTAAACATTGAGTTTCTTTATGAAACTTCTGAAAGAGCCTAATTGGTGTTTAAGGCTCTTAAATACCCATGAAATTCCATTCTGTAGCACTTACGGTGCTTCATCAGTTTGAACACTGTCACCAGGTTTGTATCTTGGCTGCAAAAATCTCACCTAACACTTTAGCTGTAGCACTTGGCATGTGCAGGGATGGAAATGACACATTCCCTTGAAATACCAAGAACAATCTAAGGGCAGAAGGGGCATGTTTGCATTTGGCAAGTGAAACCACCCTTGGAACAATCCCTACCAATTAGCAGCAAAATATTGACAGTTGGTAGCACACAGAGTGTTGATCCCAATGATTAGAAATATGACCACATAAGTCAAGTTTATTTTTTGATTATTTCATTAATCATTGTTTATCAATGATTTGTCAAATAATGTTTTTAGATAGATAGATATATAGATAGATAGATAGGCTACCAGGAGACAAGAAAACCAGGGTTCACTGTAATCCTACAAGTGTAAAACTTGCTTTAATAAGCTTGTTTCACTAATAAAAATTATGTTTGACCTACTAACAAAGACAATAGGTTACAAGCTGGCAAGGCAATTTTCTCTTTGCATACATTGTATTGTGTCTTCCTGCTGGACAGGATAGGAATACAAAAATAGAGTAAGTTGCAGAGTTTGATTGCAAAAGAAGAATTAATATGCAAAAACAGTGAATACCAGGTAAAGAATTAGAGGCAAAGGAGTAAAAGAAATAAGAGAATATGTATTAGACAACTCCATAATTTTTCTAGGAAAGCATTATTTGAATCACTTGAAATCTGTATAATCAGTTAAGAAATTATTCTGTATTGGAAGGGTTTGTAGTGTAGGGGAGTGTACAAAATGACCCAATACATCCTGTGTGTCTTATGTTTATTACAGACATTGATGTTTGAATGGAAACAAACAGGTGTTCCCAAGCACTGCATTAGCATGAGAATATCTATATAATCACAAAATTAAATAGTAAGCCACTTAAAACCAGCAATGAATTAGTGTCAAGTTTATATGACCTTGTATCTAAATGATTGCTTCAACAAATATAGCACTTTTAATAAAAATGGTTAATGTTAAATGATCCTCCAAGGTCTAATAATAACATGAAAATTAGTTGACACTGGTGACATCCTTAGATTAAAGCTGAGCTATGCTTACTTTAGGACAAATTATCTTTGCCTCTGCCACCCAAATTAGAGAAAGGCAAATAAATCCTTCATTAGAAATGCTGCAGTGTGATCTTTCTCAGCTGTGAAGTTGATGAGATTTTCCAAATAAACAATGTACACTTAGCAGATGTTTCAATGAACAAATCAACTTTGAGCATTAAAATAAATTATAGGCAATGTGTGTATCAGGAATCTTTAATTTGCTATGTCATCTGCATACTATTACGCCTAAGTGACCTGCACTGTTACAAAAATATTAGTAAAAGATGTTTCTGTTAGTGGAAACCTGAACAGCCTGAGAAACCTTGCTATTTGCACCACTGGTTTAAGTATTTTTACTGTGATTAATTGAAGTTCTAGACTTGACTGAAGTGTTCCAGGATAGAGAGACATTAAATTTTATTTTCTACAGAAAAAAAATTAAGTTATTAGACTGACCAATGCTAATTATGGATATTTGAAGATACTACAGAAACTTGCAACTACACACCTACTTTGAGGTTTAGTTTGTGCAATCTAACTTCTTAGGCCCTTGAATATGTCCTCACCGAGTACAGACTCTTTTGGGGTTCATATTTGGCATCTGGCCTCTGAACATTTCTAATTATAAACTAAACTCAGAGTCCCTGCACTGGCCTGGTCCGTGGGGCTCAGTCTGGTCCCACGTTCTACAGGCCTGTGAGGATGAGGAGGGTGGGACAGGACATGAGGGCACTTCATGGAGAGCTGGAAGAAAGGGCCACAAGCCAAACGCTCCTGTCTTAAGGTGAAACAGACCTTGAAAGTCACACCACAGAGCACTGCCAGGGGTGGCATTAACACCTCACAGCTCTGTGCTGACCTGTCCCTACGCTCGTTACCGCCACCGAACCCGTTACTTGGGGAAGGCAAAGGAGGTTTTACCTTCGGCGTTTATAACAATAGTTGCGATAACCCCTTTGTGGGCTTGAATCCTCTTTAGGGTTTCCTCCACTTCAGCCTGCAGGGAGAGAGGACACCTGAGGACACCTCAGCACCCCCGCAGCCACCTCGGCTCCCCCCGACGGCCGGCGCGGGCCTTGGGGAGCAGCCCGGGGGCTC